GATTGCTGCATATTTGCGTCTACCTAATCCTGAACGATATACAGGACACAGTTTTAGACGTTCTTCAGCAACATTCCTAGCAGACTCAGGTGAAGCGATAACCAATATAAAACGTCTCGGTGGCTGGAAGTCCACTACTATCGCTGAAGACTATTTGGAGGACTCCGAAACACAGAAGAAAAACATTTCGAATAAAATTCTTTCAAATAGAAATGACTTGCAACCTTTGCTGCCACCGTCATTTTCACCTTCATGCGACCTGCAACCGATGTCACTCCCGTCCACGTCATCTTTTCAATCTACGAGCGTTACGACTATTAACAGCCAATTAACACCAACTAATTCCTCTGTACCGGCAATTTTACATAATTTACAAAATGCTACAAATTGTGTATTTAACATTAATATCCATAATAATTAGTTGTTTTTATTTAAAGATTTGTATATGTTGAAATAAAATAATTTTCCAAAAATAATTTTTCCTACTTTTTTGTATATACGGTCGTAGAAAAAATAATGTTCCTAACTCATGCGTAAAGTGTCTTTCCCGCACTTGACCGCTTGCCCGAACTCCGCTTCGCGTCGTTCGGGCCAACTGCAGTCACGTGCGGGAAAGTAACACTTTCCGCACTTGTTAGGAAAATAACTATTTTCCACGTTTTGGCAAAAAGAAATCACTGTGCGTCGTCTGCGCTTCTCCAGACAGAACAATTTGAGTCGCCTTGAGTATCTAGTGTGATCAGCTGTTGTTGCTGTTGGCTGATTCTCACGCATTGTGTTCTATCGGTAATCACTTGGTAACTAAATAATTATTTGACTTAATAATTAATTATTTTGTATTTTTATAAATAAAGTTTATAAATTAATGAAAATGTGTTGATCTTAATATATCAAAATGTCACAAATTTTATTGTAATTATTAAAAAAAAACTGTAATTACCATGTACCAATGTTTTTATTTAAATCGTTCGAATGCTTGAATAATTATAAATCTAATATGGAAATCGTTTTGGTTAGTTGCCAACCCTTTTCATGAAATGAATGTTCAAGTCCTAAGAGAAAAGAGAATCAATTAGGCATTAAAAAATGTAAAAAAAACATAATATTAAATCATTAAAAAATCTGATGTGTTCAACATTTGACTTTCCTGTCTTACCTAAAGTTATTGTATGCTTTTTTCATTTATTCTGTGCAACCTTCTGTATCACCCCTGTAAATGTTTAGAGGATGAACTAAAACCTACATTTTCCACACACATCTTACTAGAAACATTTTTTTTATATACCGGGTGTCCGCGCGAAAACTTTAAATGGAATTATTTTTGGTGTTTTAAAATATATCGACTTGAAATTTTGGAAGGTCATTAAGGAAGTAGGGGGTAAATTAATAGTGTATAAGATACCACTCCAACGTGATATCTGCCGCCCCCAGCCACCCCCGGTTCAAAAGTTTAAATGACACCCTGTATTTTGTTTTACATATTCTGAAAGAGCGTAGTTTTTTTAGTATCTCTATGTGAAAAAATTACTTAATTACTTAATGAACTTTGAAAGATATTTACAGCTAAAGGTTCAGATACCAGATATTAAAAAAAAAACTAGTAACCTTGGATAGTAGACAAATTTCGAAATAATTAAAGCAGATAGAAACAAAAAAATCTAATTATCCAAAAAAATATAACTTATCACAAAAAAATACAACTTAGCACAAAAAAAATAAAACTTATCACAAAAATAGGTATTCTTATAGACTAACAAAATTTCGCTTTATAAACTAAAGTAAGGACTCTTTTTATTTTTTTAGTTAAATCAAATGTTCAAAATGTTCACCGTTTACATTTAAACAATAGTACAGTCTATTCTCGAAAGCGTTCCGAATATTTTCAAAGACATGTGGTGTTAAATCTCTACATTCCTCTATGATTCTATTACGCAAATCATTAATGGATTGTGGTGGTGTCCTGTAAACAACAGACTTCAAATGTCCCCATAAAAAGAAATCCAGTGGGGTCAAGTCTGGGGAGCGAGCTGGTCATTCAATAGGACCCCTACGACCTATCCATTGTCCTGGAAAAACGGTATTTAAATATTGCCTTACTTCTAAACAGTAATGAGGGGGAGCTCCGTCTTGCTGAAAGTATAACTGATCCTCCTGCATTTGATCTAAGTTTTCCTCCAAGCACTGAATGATAAGAGGATGTATTAATTCTTCTAAAAACTCGAGATATCTAGGCCCAGTTAAATTCTCGTGATAGAAAATTGGACCAATTATTTGGTTATTTAGAATTCCAGCCCATACATTAATTTTTTGGGGACGTTGCGTATGGCCTTCTCGGAAAACGTGGGGATTAACATCGCTCCAATATCGACAATTGTGTCTATTTACGAAACCATTTAAGGAAAAGCAACTTTCGTCACTGAAACAAATATTTCGCAAAATATTTTTATTTTGCCGAATCATGCCTGTCATAGTTTCACAAAATTGGACTCTTCTATCGAAGTCATCGTCGCCCAACTCTTGATGAAGCTGTTTTTTATAAGGATGCATTTTATTTAATTTTAATATTTTATGGCACGTTGTTTTTGCCACTCCCGAAGCTTCTGATAATTTTCTAACTGAAAGCTGTGGGTCTAAATTTACGTGACCAAGAACTGCAAAATGCGTTCCTTCATCTCGTGCTCCACGATTATTCATATCACGTTTTTTATTATTTACCGATCCAGTTTCAAAAAAATTTTGTATTAGATTAATTACATAAACAGCAGATACATTTTTGTTGGGATGGTTTTCGTTAAATAATGCTGCCGTCTGCGAATAGTTTCTGTTTGCAATCCCATATAAAACTACAATTTCAGTTCTTTCTTCCAAACTGTAAACCATTTTTCTATTTTTTGAGATATTTAATTTAAACTAAGTCAAATTTTTTCGAAAACTTTTGTACTAACGAGTAAACAGAAGTGTCACAAACAATATTATTTGACAGTTCAAGCAACGAAGCAGCTTTCATGGCTTGCTATTATTTTTTGCTTTCGATATTTGAATATCTGGTATCTGAACCTTTAGCTGTAAATATCTTTCAAAGTTCATTATGTAATTAAGTAATTTTTTCACATAAAAATACTAAAAAAACTACGCTCTTTCAGAATATGTAAAAAATACAGGGTGTCATTTAAACTTTTGAACCGGGGTGGCTGGGGGCGGCAGATATCACGTTGGAGTGATATCTTATACACTATTAATTTACCCCCTACTTCCTTAATGACCTTCCAAAATTTCAAGTCGATATATTTTAAAACACCAGAAATAATTCCATTTAAAGTTTTCGCGCGGACACCCGGTATATCCAATATCAACGTAAATACTTAAAAATTAAAAGTATACACTTTTCCTCAAATTTTTCCATTACGTTCCATTAAAAAGAAATCATGTATAGAACAAAAATTATAGGGAATTATACAGCAATTTTACACTTTTTCTTGTAAAATTTCTCGTTTATTTTAAGGAAATCATGTATATAATGAAAATTATAGTTTATGATATCACAAGCAAATTTTTTTGAACGAATTTTCTTCTCCAAGCGTAAATAACGGATATATTCCTTAAAGTAGAAAATTGGCCCTCTTTAAACTACCCTTTTATATATACCCAAAATCTAATCAACTTATTAGAGGAAGAATTAAAGACTAATTTTAAAATTTTGTATTTTTATCCCTTTTTGACATTACCTAGACATCTTCGCGAATATAGTCAAAAGGGATTCAGGGACCCTAAAACGTAAAAATCCGTCAAAAACTCGAAATCGAAAAAATCATGAATCCTATAGGTACTTTCCATCTATACAGGGTGGCTCACGCTCAACGGGACGGAGCTTATTGGGAAAACGACCAAAGATATAAAAAATTCGTTTGGGAGGAATACGTAGGTTACAGACGGCTACAATTTAAAATTTGTTAGATGTATACAGGATGTCCCACATAAGAGAAAATATACAAAGTTATATTATTTTTAATAGAATTAAAAACTACATCAAAAATAATGTCAGTTAACTAAAGTTTCCTATTACTATTATTATTAGTTTTCGATTTATTTGAATTTTCAAGGAAAAAAGTCTCCCAGAAATTAATTGTTTACTCTTGTTTGATTAATTTTTAATGAACAAATTTTTTTTTCTTATGTGGGACATCCTGTATACATCTAACAAATTTTAAATTGTAGCCGTCTGTAACCTACGTATTCCTCCCAAACGAATTTTTTATATCTTTGGTCGTTTTCCCATAAAACTCCGTCCCGTTGAGCGTGAGCCACCCTGTATACAGGCTACGGTGGCGCAAAAAACCGACTGTTTTTTTTTAGTCTTGTACGAAAATGTGTTAATTTATCGTTTTTTAAGACCCCCTCGAAAGGGCAGCTCAAAAAAAATGTTTTAGTGGTCGCTCAAGATTTTTCAAAATTAGTTAAAATTCGATTTTTTTTTATTTTTTTGCTCGTGACAGTAGAATTTTGTACCCCAAAAAAGAAAAAAAATGTCTTAAATTTTTAGCTCTTATTGCTTTTGATGTTTGCTTAATACTAAGAATAAATTTCAATTTTTGCTTTTAAGTAGCAAGGTAATAGATCAGAATTCATCACGAGATAGAAAAAAATCCAATACAACAATGAAAGCATAATTTAATAAATCGAATTTTGACTAATTTTGAAATTTTTAAAAATCTTGAGCGACACCTAACAAATTTTTTTTGAGCTGTCCTTTTGGATGGGGTCTTAAAACATGATAAATTAACATATTTTCGTACGAGACTCAAAAAAAAAATAGTCGGTTTTATTGCGCCACCCTAATACAGGAAGAAAAGTAAAAATAAATGCAAGGAAACAGATCGGTACTAAGCGATATAAATAAAAATTTGGTGTCTGTTCACGTCGTCATCTATGACGCTTCTATATTTTTCTTTGATGCAACCCACTTTGCAACATTTTCTACTAAATTTCATTATCAATTCCAGAAAACCTACAAGCACGTCTGCAGGAAAGGTCACAAACAGCCAGTAGGTAGGTGTTACTCGACTTTATCAGCTCACCATCAGTCATACAGCGATTCTTACAGTGGCGGCGGTTGGGGAGGAGGATGTGGTGGTGGAGGAACCAGAGGCACTTCGCTCCGTCGTCTCGAAGATGCAGTGGCGGCGCGTCTACATGACCATCGACGGCCGCTGGTTGTTTCCTTCAGAAGGCAGAAGAGGACGCCGCAGTCGCATCAAGGTGAGGTAGTCGAAGGCTGTATATCGACCGAAAGGACCGCGAACGGATTGGCGCAGTCAGTAGGATCTCCGCTGATCGGAATAACGAAAAAAAGGGATTCTGAAGGTAATATAGACTTTAAAAGTTATAGATATATTCAATCAGAATGTGAATGGATGTTTCGTCCTCATCCTCCTCACAGAATATACACTCGCTATATTCTACTACTTTTAGGCGTTGACAATGCTCGATAAGGATTCCTGTTATTACTCAGATATATGCAGGGTTCTGATCTTTTCTGGTTATATTCACCCAGAAGTATCAGCCTATTCCAAGAGATTGTTTCAACTATTGGATTTTCTACTGCTTAGATCTTTTTTAACATCTTCTAATATTGTGTTACTGGTGATACTGCACAATGAGTCCCTTTCCTTGCCAGACTTAAAAGAGTCATATGCCTCAATTATTGCTTCAATTAGTTCCTCAAAATTTGTCCCAGTCACTTTTTCTGAGATTTTTCCTGAGGATCGCCTCATGCGTGTCACGCCCTATTCCAGTTTGTTTTTCTAGGATTTCTCCTAAAGATCGTCTCAGGCTTGTCGCTCTCTAATTTTAACACTATTATCTTGTGATCAGATAGTTATGATTCACTTGATACTTTCCAGTTTGTTACTACATCTTTAAGGCTTGATACTCAATATGATTATTTCTAATACCTCACTCACTTCTTACCTTTGTTACAAATGTGAAAGTAATCCAATATTGTGTTCAATAAGGTTCTTATTACAAATATGTTCTAGAAGTTGCTAACCTCTTTAATTAACCATAGCTATGCTATAGGAATATATTGCTCGGTATTTCAGGCCGAGGTATACGCAATTTTGCAAAATGCAAAAACGAACAATGAAAGCTGTCAAAAATCAGCATATTCAAATAATGTCAGACAGCCAAGCGGCACTTAAGGCCATATTGAGTCAGAAAGTTACGTCGAGGCTGGTATGGGAATGCATAAAAGAACTAAGAACACTGGCAGACCGAAATAGAGTAAAACTATTTTGAATGCCAGGTCACCAAGGGATCGAAGGCAACGAAAAGGCTGACTAACTTGCAAAAAGAGGGTCAGAAGAAACACCGGTACCAGACACAACCCAGGAGTACCAAAAAGTACAGTCCGGGGTTTCATGAACGACTGGATTTGGGAACAACATATTAACTATTGTGGAAGCACCCCAAAACAGGCACATGGAAAAGCCTTCATAGGCAGACCATGTCCCAAAAGAACTGAAGAACTACTCTTTATAAATAGGAACCAGTTGAAAGTGATAACAGGGCATGACTGGGCACGCCCCAGTAAAGGGACACTTGAACAAAATTGGTATGTACAATGGGGAACGAATGTGCCGACTAGGTCACAAGAAACCAGAAACGACCAAACACATACTGTGCAAACGCGAAGCTCTAGATCGCAAAAGACAGGCTCTTTTTGGACAACCTCAGGTTGATCCAACAACGTATAGAACCCACTCACCCTAGGATCTGTACAAACTTGTACAAGATACAAAGGTGACAGAGTGGGTGCTATGAACTAACATGGGGTAAAACACAATAAGCCAATAGACTTCAGTGTTATTCAGAGACATAGTCAGACGAGCCCAGGAGAAAAAAACCTCTTTGATAGGTGTCGTTGCTTCCTCATATGGTACTCTGAGGTTGGCGTTGCAGATTTCTTCTCTGCCACTAATCTCGATACTTCCGAGGATAGTGCAGAACCAAATCCATCGAAGCAACTAGAAGCTCTTACTATGTCTTGCCACCTGATCCCAAATTTGAGTCATGAATTATGAAAGTCAAAAGAATAATACAAGTTCTGGATACTTTATCGTTACTGTGAAACATTACCTTTGTATCTTTACATGCGTGGTTTCCGTAGGCCCACGATTATTAAATCAGTACGATCCATAATTAGTTTTAAGTGGATGTCTTGAAAATCACAGCCGATACTCATATGGTGGACATTTACTTGAGCGATGCTAATGCCCTCCATTTTATTCTCCATCGATGATGGTGTCGTCCCCACTGACATTGTCGGATTAGACCGTCGGTCTACCGGTCAAAAGACCGACAGACTCTCGTTCAAGCAGTGAGCATTCGATCAGAAGAACAGTCAAATACGTAGAGGACTTTTTTTCTCTTCAATGAATCGGACCATAAAAAAGGTGGGCCCATCTCTCTCTTGAACTGGTAGGCCCTGGATACTGCTCACTGATAAAAGTGTATTCTTAACTCTCTTCATTCCTTTCTTTTGTTGTTGTTGTTCCACATGAGAAGTTGAGGGAGTTTGGTCTCTTCGGATGACAGGCTCCGTTCGATTATATTTGGGAGCGGTGTGTTTTACCCACCAAGAATAAAACTTTGCTAGTGGGTATTAAAAATTTAATACCGGTTATTAATACGGTTATTAAATTTTTTAATACTATATGAGGCAGCTAAACTGATTAATAGCACATATTAAACTTTTGTTCTTGGATCAGTGTTGCTATAACAAGCAAACAAATATCATTAGTAAATTAATTTGGTAACAGGTATTATACGGTCTATTAGGAGGAACTAAATACTTTAATAGTCATTATTAAACAGGGTTATAATAGATATTGAACAGCTGAATAGCATTTAGTTCACAAGTATTGATAATTTAATAACTGTTATTAATGGCTTTAATAATGTATATTTGCAGGTCCTAATACTGTCTATTAAATCACTTTAATTATGATTATTAAATAGTTTCATAGAAGTCGTTCAAAAATATCTCCTTTAATAATTGGTAATTGTCTCTTATCTAACTATATGAAACCTTAGGTTAGTACCCCAGTCTTTTTCATTTTTAGTTCATAAAAAATACCTACATAGATAAAGGTTATATTATCTGGGCGATTGTGGGTCAATTTTTCAGAAACTTGTTATAGTTTTTATAGAAGGAAATTATAAAATTTAAATTTTTTTTAAGATATTCAAAATTTTTTTAGAAACTGAATCAAATTTTGAAAAGACACATACCAAAACAACACCCGGCATCTCCAATTCTTTAGTAATTCCGTATAATCCATTATTTTAGTTCATTAAAACTCACTGGAACACGATTTACATGTACTACACAAGTACCGGGTGTTCCATTAAGGTAGCCGGCTATATTTCAGAAACTAATAATAGTACAGGTTTGGGGAAAAAATATTTTTAATAAAAACGACCAAGAGAAATTGCTGTAAATTATTTTCAGGTTTGTAGGGTGGCCGCTAGGGGGCGTAATTGTGACGTCAAAATATAAAAATGTAATTTTCTTAAAAAAATACCAAGTAAAGTATATTGATTAATATTACTATTTTAATCTTCAATGTTTTCTGAACAATAAAGCTTATGGTGTAATTTTTTTCAGTTGTGAAATAGAGTGGTGGGGAAGGTTAAACTTTAATTTGTAAAAATGCTCATAACTCCGGTTTGGCTTTACCGAATTTAGTGAACTTGGTTTCGTTTAGAAAAGCTTTTTCAGACTCATTTTTAGCTTTATAAACTGTGGCTGCTTACGTTTTATGAACGCCTCTAAAGGGCGTTAAGTTAGAAACTGACAAATTTTATTAATTTTTTCGAAAAATTTAAGTAAACGATATATACCTCTCTTAATGGAACACCCGGTACACTAAATTCCGTAGGGCTAGAGTTGTTTCTTCATTACATGCTATGGCGCGAATGATTATTGAGGTTGTAAATCTACATCACGTAGAGTATGGAGGGGATAACAATCGTCAAAATTTACTTGTGGTTATCGAACATTTATAGCTTCGTTCGCGGTAACCATCCTGAACTGATTCAGAATTACTAATTCATACTTTGAGCGTATGCCCGAATCATTATCAATTCTGAATTTTTACCACGCGCGCAATACCTATTATATCTCAGTGTTTCAGGTATAGACAAGCGGTTCAAAACCAATAATTATTTTACCGCGAACGCAGAATAGAACCAATAGTTCAGTTCTTTTTGTTCCACGAACGCTTTTTAACTACTGCGCCTTCGAAATCATTACTGTTGGTAATAATTCGGTTCAGGATTCTTACCGCGAACAAAGCTAATTATGGTTAGCAAACTGCTATTAAAGAGTTTAATAGGCACCATTAAATCAGTTTAATAGTAATCAAAAAACTAGTGGGTATTAAAGTTTTTACTAATATGCTATTGGTTATTAAACAATTGACTAATTACAGCAGTTTCAAATAAATTCATTTCCAACCAAATTTGTTTAATTACAGGTATTAACCGAAAATGAAGTAATTTTAGTGACAATCAATTTTTTTTATTGAACATGTCTAATAGACCTCGTTTTCTTGGTGCCGTTGTTCCTTTTTAAAAATTTTGCCTGTTCCTCTAGCAGTAATGTAAATAATAATATTGTTTTTTTAATATATTTTCTTTTATTATTTTTAAGGAACCGTTATTCCACCCACAAAAATGAAGACATCGTTTTCCTTTTCGAGTCCGCTATTAATGGATAAATTAATAATAGAAAAATCGCGATCCTTCACTAAAGACCGTCCTACTTCGGAAAGCGATTTCAGGGACGTAATGGATTACTTACATGTGGATGAAAATCAATCCGGAAACGTATATCAAGATAAAAACGGATACGCGTGCAGAAGTACAAGGAAAAATCTAAACAGCGTTACGATGTCAGATAGCCAGGACCGTCCTGAAAGGGTTTGCAGTTACGTGGAGGTTCATACGTTACGGCCTAAGCACATTTGTCCGTTGAATAAAAATATTTTGCAAGTTAATTAGTTTGTTAGTAAGTCCAAGCGGTGCCCTCGAATAAAGTTGATCCTCTAAATATCTGTAAGAGCCACTTTACACTTTGCAATTTTCCTCGCTGCAAGTGAAATTGCGGCCAATCCTATTGAACTCTAGATAAACAGCTGTCTGTCTTAAAATTATTTTTCTTTGTGTCATCTGCATTAACTACTTGGTTATTAGCCTCGTGTTCTGTGTAGGCTTTGTTACTGTTTACCATCGCTACTTTAGGAACAGCACTGTTAATT